ATGACATTCATCTCTGTAAAAAAAATTCTGTTGACTCTGAGAAACTGGGTTGTATAATTGTTTTTAAAATCCATTATCTGATCTCTCACTTAGTTTTTCTATCATTTGCTAGTGAGTAGCAAAGTTAACTGGATTGTTCAAAGTATAAAAGTAAAATTTGTATTTGAGAATAGAAAAAAAGAAATAAGAAACATGTTCCATATATACAAAGTAATTTTAAAGCGACCGGGTGTAATTTAAAGTTTTGAAATGTAACAGTACTTTAGGCCGGTGGCCATATAGTGCGGAATAAAGAAATAATAATATACAAAGTATATTATTAAAAATAAATGTAAATTTTACTATTTCATCTTCAGATTTTTAGTTCATTTTAGAAAAAATCTAAATTTACTAAAATTAATCAGAGAGCATATCTAATGTATAATAGTTGAATCAATGACCAATATTGACTCGTATTTTTATTTCCCATGTTATATTTCAGGTTATATTGACTTGTCAAAAAGAAGAGTATCTTCAGAAGAGATTGCTAAATGTGAAGAAAAATACAGCAAAGCAAAAGCTGTAAGTAAGAGATAAATAATAGTTAGAGAGCTATGATCTATGTTGCTAAGATGCGCACTGCTGTATCATGTATTTCTATGGGCTTTGCGCGAGCTGCTGTTAAATGTCGGTCGAAGAGCCGGTGAAAACTTATATCAAGAAAACATCATAACTTAAAATTTGATGTAGCAGGGTAATTCTGAACAATCAAATTTATATATTTAAGGGTACCAGTAGTCTTTTTACATTGTTTAGAAAAGTCTTAACAACTATCCTAAAGTACAGTTTTCTGATGGTTTTCGACCATTGTTTTCATGGTTATAGTTGGCAGGTGGTAAAAATGCCTGGAGACTCGCTCCCAAGAATAATGATTACCGGTAATTTGTATCTGTGGAATTAGTTACAAATGTTTAATTTTGTATTCCCCCTGCCTTGTGACTTGAGTAAATGAAATGAACTCAACTGAGGTACCAATCAACGTTCAGTGAGTGCACTCATCATATTCTTGCTGTTGTTGATAGAAATCTTTAAAGCTATGTGTTTAAACATTTGTTGATATTTTTAAACTTCATTAAGGTCTTTTATTTAGTAATTCCATCAAGAAGGCATCCAGCAAAATTTCAAATTTTTATGTAACAAGACTTTTTATTGGTTTTTCAAAAAAAAATAGTGGCACACTGATCGGTTCATTTGTTAGTTCTGAAATACAGCAGCAAAAATTGATTTAAATGTTTATATCGTTGAGTTGCAAAGCAGTTTCTGATTGTACATGTATATCATTTAAAAAACCAAGTAATAGTCGTAATTTGATCTTTCATAACATTTTGGTTTTTTTCAGGTGAACAGTATATTGCGTCATGTCGGTGAAATCCTAGAATACGAGACAGATGAACAGTTAGAAGAGCTATATCATAAAACAGCCTGGCATTTTGACAGGAAATACGGACAGCCTGGTGCCGCTTATGAAGCATTTAAACATTGTGTTAAGTAAGAATAGACACTTTTGTCAATAATTTTATTTGATTCTTTTACCGAATTGTACTACCATTCTGTACATTTCTCGAATTTAAATTTTGGACCAAACTGGTATTATTATCATGTTTTGATTAAAATGCTAAGCGTGACGTAATTAGATTTAAGCTGGCTTAACACTAGATTAGTGTTTTTTTTCAAAATCCCCATATATGTGAATTATGCATAGTAATCTGCCTAAATATGTCTTATATTAGTATCATTGATAAATACTAGAAAGTATAAGTTGAAATTAAAAGTTGCTTGAAAGTTAAAATATGCTTGGAGTTGAAAATTTTGATACACACAAATACAAACAGCATAGTCTGTATTGCAATTCTGAATGTTATTGCTTTTTTGGGATAATTTTGTCAGGTTGCACCAGCAGGCATACTTTGCAATTGGCAGAGTTGATTTAGTCAAAACTATGCCTCAATTCACTATGATTTAGATTTGCGATATGGTCTATGGTGGCAATCTAGGCTGCTTTGTTGCACCATCATGCAGACATCACCATGGTCATTGTTCTGACTGCCATTTTCATTTGGTTTATTTTCTTTTACCTGTGTACACTCGCAGTAAAACTGGAGGTGATAGTGACTTTCATGAAACGTGGATCCCATCAAATTATCATCTTGCTAAAATTGATGATGATGAAGATTGAATGGTTGACTATCAATGAATCAAGTATTTATTTTACCTAAAAATGTCATCTTCTATTCTGACTGGTAACTGAGGAATGAATGGAAATAAAAAAATAATAATTCAATTAGAGATTGGGAGTTTCTCTTCCAACTTTTATAAATGCTAATGACAACCCTGTATCTTGTATTACAGTGATGACTCCTTGTTAAATGAATGTACTTTGGATGAGGAAACTTACAGAGTACTCCTAGCTAATATTAAAAGACGACTAACACCACAACAGGTCAAGGTCAGGGCAGGTAGGACATGCATTGCAGCATAGTATCAAGCCCATTATTCACACAGTTTCACAAGCTCGATGTAAACATGCTCTCCCACAAACCTGTGTGCGCTGATAAGTCGCATATTTTACCTCGGTAAAATCTATAGATCTGATTGGAGACATCTCTAAAGCATTTGCCCAATCAAGGTTGGCGTAACATTTGACAACTGGTCATAAATATAATGTAGCGTTGTGTTGCTGATGGTGAAGAATCGCTGATGCAATTTTTGACGGCCTTTCCCTTTCTTCAAGGCATAGCACAGAGACTGGCACGGAGCCTACACCTCAAGGTTTAGTCTGTGCAAAATATTGAAATCATTCCCAACATCTAGTCAGTTCACAGTTCTTACCTCAGAGACAATATAGTTGCTATGTTTTCAAACGTGTGACGGTTGAAAATCTATGTTCACATTATACTGATAACATATTGTTTGAATCATACACTTCAAGGTGGCTGTGCTGGGGAATCAAATTAATAAAATGAATTGATTTAATCAGTTGGATTTTTAGCCCTCATGTAACAGATAGTAAAATGTGTAATGGTGAGGCGATGGCCGAACCTTTGTTAGCGAAGATGTATCTAGTTTTGCAGCATAGTATCTAGTTTTGCAGCATAGTATCCAGTGTCACAGCATAGTATCTAGCATTGCAGCATAGCATCTAGCGTTGCAGCATAGTATCTAGCATTGCATCATAGCATCTAGTAATGCAGCATAGTATCTAGCATTA